CTCCTCCTCCCCCTCCTCCTCCCCCTCCTCCTCCCCCTCTCCTCCTCCTTCTTTTTTTATTAAATATATTTTATTGATTCTAGAGAAAAAGGGAGAGGGAGAGAGAGATAGAAACATCAATGATGAGAGAGAATCATTGATTGGTTGCCTCCTGCATGCCCCCTCCTGGGGATCAAGCCAGCAACCCAGGCATGTACCCTTGGCCAAAATCGAACCCTGGACCCTTCAGTCAGCAGGCCAACACTCTGTCCATTAAGCCAAACCAGCCAGGATGGCATTGCTTCTTAATGGTGAGGGTGAGGTCAAGATCATTGAGTGGCTTATAGTCAGCTTTTGACAATAAAATGTTTGTGATGACTAAATAGAAATATTTATTTATGGCATAAGGTACAGAACCTTGAGTTTCAGCTGAAATTGGAAGTCATTTTCTTCATAATCATTAACATATCAGTGCCCAGTTTTTTCCAAACTTCTTGGTGACTCAGTCCTAACAGGATGCTTGGCAGAATTGAGTAGCTTAATTTGTAACACAGACTAGAATTTTAATTGAGTTTTATTTGCATTTGTTAAAAACATGGTAATTAAATGTCTTAATTGTACGAGTGTGCTGCATTAAAGAGAAATAAGCAGCTTCATGTTATAACTTCTTTAAAAAGAGAAACTTCAGAGTATCTATTGTTATAGGTAATCACATAACTGATAGTTCAGTGCATCAAGTTAGTTAAAATAGGCATAAATGTTCATAAAAAATAGAAATTTCTATTTGTTTGGAAGGAGATCATATTTCTTTGTGTAGCCTCTCTGCAAAGGGAAAGGTAATAATCTATAAAGATGAGCAAAATTAAAGAGAAGAATTGTAAAAATTTATATACTATTTAAAATAGTAAATTATCTAAATGTAGGATTATGGTTAATTCTTACACTGTAATTTTCTATATGAACACAGAGAAAATTATATATATATATATATATATATATATATATATATATATAATTTTTTTTTAATTAAGCATGGGCAGCCAATTTGTTAGGTTTTTAAAAGAGTAATCTTGCATAGGATAAAGTGAGATATTCCCATTTTTCCCTATCAAATAATTTTAGAGTTTGAAACATATGTAATGCCATATTTTAAAAAACATCTTATGTTTGTATCAATACATATGAAGCTACATATTGCTAAATATTTTTAATTAGTTAGCATCAAATGGATTAGTAAAATAAGTACACCCCCAGAAGAATTTCTGTGATAATGTATTATCAAAATTAGAATGTTCAAAGTAAGTATAAAGAATTCTCAAATGTCAGATTATCATCTTAAATAGTTCACTGGCATGGGGCGGGAAACTGTGGGATATTTTATTTTATAAAATGTGTTTATAAAACCCAAAGTTAATAAATGATTTAATACTGATTTTCTCTGTTTCACCCAATTTATAAAATAATTGGTATTACATATACCAGAAAATTGTTATGATTATGAAAAGAATTGGCAACAAATGTAACTTCAGTGCCCAGTTAGTTGTGATGGCTCTGCCTTTATTCTGTTACCAAGCCAAGAGCAGACATATGCCCCTGTACTTCTGCCAACTATCAGGCGAAGAACTAGCATTCATGCGTTATGGTGATGGCTGCTGTGGAAGACAAAGTTGTTTAATTTACTGGGCTCATTTTTTTGTTTTTAGTTTCAAACATTGATGAGGGTTGTATAATCCATTAAACAAAACATACAGGACTAACAATAATATAATAAAAATATATCGAAGATGATGAGAGCGGAAACAAGTACAGTTGACCTTTAAATATCGTTGAGTTTCAACTATACGGGTCCACTAACACATGGGTGTTTTTCAGTAAATAAGTACAGTACTGTCAGTGTATTTTCTCTTAGGGTTTTCTTAATGACATTTTCTTTAACCTACTTTATTGTAACACAGTATATAATACATATGCTATACAAAAGCTGTAAATTGACTGCTTATGGTATCAGTAAGGCTTCAGTCAACAGTAGTCTATTAGCAGTTAAGTTTTGGCAGAGTTAAAAGTTACATGTGGATTTTTGACTGTGTGGAAATTGGTGACCCTAAACCCCGTGTTGTTCAAGAGTCAGTCTTCCCAGTGTTACTGTACTTAGGGTCTGGCCAGTGGGCATTATTCTGAACCTAGAAAAATGGCCATACCCAGAGACTGCATAAATGTTTGTATGATTGGGATAAAGCAATGAGTTAATAATCTTTCATTTAAACAACCTTTTATGAGCAGCTGTTGCCTGTCTGGCATTCCTCATTTTAGAAGCTCAGAAAGTGGGAGATAGACATATGTGAAGTGCAATAATAACAGTTTGTTACAAAGAGATATGGAAGTATATAGGTAAAAGGAGTTTTGCATGTTTGGTTTAGAAAATCCACTACCATCCATCTGTTTGAGTATAACAACCAACCTAGATTTGTAGCTGGCAAGAACTTTTTAGAATTGTTTTATAGTGATTTGGTCATTTATCTCAAAGTTGAGGCCACACCTATTTCCCAAAAGGTTAAGAGAGTGGTTGGTAATCAGAGCATAACCATATCAAGGGTATTGACAAGGTGCTGCAGCCCTACTAAAGCTGTATTTACATTCTTCTGGGAGTCTGTCATTGAAATGGCTTCACATAATTTGCAAGTTCTTGAAACACTAGGCCAGAATATTCTTTCCCTCCTCTTTGTAGACCACAAAAAATTACAGCCTTAGCTCACCATTTATTATATTTGCAAGGCTATCGATTTTTACTAGCAGTGGCCATCAAAATTGTAACTGGCTTCCTTCAATAAATCTGCACAATTCCTATTTATGCATTAGTTGAAAAAGAATAAAAGAAACAAGTTGTTGTGGTTTTTGTTTTTTTTTTTTAATATATTTTATAGATTTTGTACAGAGAGGAAGGGAGAGAGAGAGAGAGTTAGAAACATTGATGAGAGAGAGTCATCGATCAGCTGCCTCTTGCACACCTCCTCCTGGGGATATGCCCGCAACCAAGGTACATGCCCTTGACCGGAATCGAACCCGGGACCCTTCAGTCCCCAAGCCGACGCTCTATCCATTGAACCAAACCGGTTTCGGCATGTGGTTCTTTTTTTTTAATCTGCCATGTTAATAGGAAGAAGAGAGTGGCTCACGTTTGATAACCCAGTACAGAAGGAGGACAATCTTTCTGAAGTCATTTCTATAGTTGCTAACCCATCCTAGAGCCACTGCACAATTGATCTTGCTTCTTGAGTGATTCATCAATGTGAGCCACAAGTCACAGTATTCAGTTACCATACAGAGTTAACAACACGTTTCTGAAATATACTTCTGACTGCTGTAATTATCTTCTGGGAAGACTGTGTAATGACTGGTTGATAGATTACTGAAATATATGCTGAATGAAACATGGAATCTAGCCAGAGTTGACTAAAAATTCATGAAGGTCTTGCTAAAGTACAACTGTACAAGGATATAATAGTAGAAAGATCCCCACGCAGGAAGTGTGCTGGACCCAAATCTTTCTGTTTCCTCAGCATTTAGAGGAAGAAGTTGGTCTAAATGACCTCCAGAGTACTGCCTGGATTTAGACTTGGTGATATTCTTACTCTTTTGCTAGACCTAGGGTATGACCTGCTGAAATGGGCAATAAGTTGGCTCATGTCTTTAACTTAATGTGTCAACAAAAAGAATTCTTTTAGTATTATGGTAAATAGCTGGCATTAATAAAAGTATCAATTGGCTGTATTCATGTCATCATTTGATAGTCTCTTTTCAGATGTGTGAGAGTTTAGTAGCATAACCTAAGATATTGAGTTTGTTTTAATATGTCTTCTTATACTCCTGTTATTGTGTATTGCTAACTTAAGTGCTCCTCACTGAATTTCACTTGAAGATACATTAACTTGATTTAGAGATCTGTTCTTTGTGAAAGATTGGGAAGAGGCCTACTTGTTCTTTTTGGTTCTACATTAGAAGAAGCCTAAAAATATTGATTCATACTTTGTTGATGGAGAAAAAAAGATGATCTCAGAATTGAAGGGGTAACACAAAGCCCCAAATCATAGGCAATCAGTCTCAGAAAAGATCTTATGAAAATGGCTGACTATGTGTATCTATTGCTTCACAACTTAAATTCTGGAAGATTTTTTGGTAGGTGGAAACCCACTCTAGTTACCTGTCTTCTTTCAAATGCAAACAGTTTGGAGTATTGGCCATATTTTTATGAAATGTTGGTTCACAGGATGAAATCTTGTTATTTAAGTACAGCTTTTATCTGCAAAATTCAGAGGAGTATGGGGTTATTAAATCACACATTTTCATGATTCTATCCAACTCTGTTTATCTGCTATTGTGTAGACTCACATGCAAAATTATTTAGGATTAGAAGATGTAGTACCATTTGCTTGTGATGTTGACCTTATTTAATAGCATCATAAATAAAAGCTGCAGAAGCTGTGAAGATCCAGTCTTCTGTTTGCAGAAATGACAAATGGACATGCTTCGGAGCTTGAGGAAACAAATTATTGTACTACCATTGGTGTGCTAACTAGAGAGTGGTATAATATAACTCATTAATGAGGGGCCAGAGTGGATCCACTTCATTCTTACCCAGGAGGAATGTAAGCACTTGGGGAAGGACTGCTTATTTTCATTTTGCAAATATCGCAAAAAGGACCATTACGGGTTTGTGCTGTGATGAGGACCAGCCAATTCCCACAGCAATACATGTTCTGTGTCAAGGAGGATGTTACTCTGGGGAAATCAGCACCTGGCTGAAAAGCAGCTTCTCTTGACCTATTGGCACATCATTTTCTATACAAACGTACAGAGGTCATCCATATCACATACTCAGTTTTAATTCCACGCAGAAGTAAATGCAGCCCATGTTAATAGCAACATGTGGGAAAAGAAAATCCTCACATATATTTTAATTCCTTATTTTTGTTCCTTTGTTTCACTACATTCCTTATCTGTTTTTGTTTTTGTTTTCTTCCAAGTGGAAGAAGACACAGAAGAAAGCTCAAGATCAGGGAGAGAGTCTGTGTCCACAGCCAGTGACCAGCCTTCATATTCTCTGGAAAGACAAATGAATGGAAACCAAGAAAAAGGAGATAAGATTAATAGGAGAAAGGATAAAACAGGAAAAGAGAAGAAAAAAGATAGAGATAAAGAAAAGGATAAAATGAAAGCCAAGAAGGGAATGCTGAAAGGTCTAGGAGACATGTTCAGGTAAGTCTTTACCAACCAAATCAGATCATTCCTCAACATATGTATGAGGTTAATAAGAAATACTAAAACACAAATTTGAAAACATTATGTTTGAGCTCAACCAAAATTCTTTTCTAATTTCCAGTCTTAATTACTTCATTGTTATATTCTTAATGATTTCACCTTCATGATTTTAGACCATTTTATCAGCCTTAAAGATGATACCTTGCTAACTATGGAAATGACTGTAGAGAGGAAGGAGGGACAAGTCTGTATCTTAGCTATGCATAAGATTAACAGCCCCATTGAGACAAAAGACTATTAAAGCAGTGTTTGTACTTTTGTGAGTATGAACAATGATTCATTATTTAAATTTAACATAGAGCTCGAGTTAGAGGTAGCATTAAAGGTTCATTAATAACAAGCCTAATAAAAATATTACAAATAGAGCTTTAATTAAACTATGTTGATTAATTCATGTTATTTCAGTCTTTAAAGTTTAACTAAATGTAGTCTCTAGCTGTTTTCTGACAGAAGTTTTTGTGCCCCTCAATTATATTATAGGATTACTTAGCATATCATGCTTTACAAATGATTGACACACAATAAAAGTGACAAGTTTTTCTTAATTTGCACTGCAACTCTTCCATAAATGTTCATCTAAGGTGATTTATAATATTTAGGTATTTAATGTACAATATAAAGATTAGTTGATTGTCTCATAAATTAAACCCCTAAACATATCATGATGATGGTTTAAATTGAAAACATACAGCATAATCATTCAACTCTTCAAAAAGTAGTTACCCTATATTATGAATCCCTTCCTTTTGACCTTTTTTAATTAAAAATGTGAATGAGCTTTTCACAGAAATTTTTTATTGATGATCCTGAGGTTACCCTCAGTAACTCAAGAAATTATAGATATGTCAAGCCTAGAGCATTGAGGACTTAGGGTTAAGCCTTCAGGCTACACAGCACAATAGATATGGTGCTGTAGATGTCTGATTAAGACAAGTGCATGGAAGAAGTAAGCAATAGATCGAGATAACACAAAAGCTGGCCTATTAAACTGTGTCCATTTTATTTTAAGTACAATTGGATTTCCATTTCCGGTGCCTCAGAACATTGGGATTTTGATAGTTTTACATTTTTTTTCTTGCTTATATACTGATTCTTCTGAATCCATTTTCAGTCATATCATTTTTCATTATATTCCATGTCCAAGAACACTTGGGGTGAAGTTGCCTTAATTGCCACTTTATTTCTGTTTCTGTGTTAGCCAGGGGGCTTTCATTCCTTACATGCAAACTGACAGCTCCTAAATGGTCACCTACATAACACACATAAATAAGGTGGTTGCCTATCAATTAAAATTTGAGTAATTTGTACTACTGTCTTGTTCAAATTATAGAATATGAGAGGTGAGCAAACCTCCTTTGAGACTTACAGAGCATACTTGGAGCCCAGTCACGTTTTCCAGGGTTTCTCCTGAAGTCTTATTGAAATCTAGTGGCTTATTAGTTTTCATTCATCAGCTAATATTTATCTAATAGACACAGTGCTCCATTCTCATGGAATAGGGGATAAGAAAACTTTTAGTTTGTCTATAACTTATTTAATAAATTATTTTAACCATAAATGCTTTTTTTTTTTTTTTAAATTTCAGAATAAGAGAGACCTTATAGTAGACTTTTCTTTTGGGGGCCAGAGGAGTGGAGAGTGTCAGGGCCATGGGGAAATATATATTGTTTCAAAGGGACCCTGAAATACAACACAGTACAACCTTCTTTTTGATAAAAGTTCTCTGAAATACTACATGATGTTTTTTCTAGATCAAATTCTATAGCTTATACCTTTAACAGTGTTGTGATGAGGAAGTGGACCCATTTATGCTTTCAGGGCCTGGTATTCTTGAAAATAAACTTCTATGTTTAGGTTCCAGGGCTGAGGTTTTTTTTTCCTAAGAATTAAGTTTATGTCCTTCCAGTATTTAAGAATGGCTATTAATAAAATCAGAGATGTCTATTCTTTTCTGGGTATATAACATGGTTCTGCTAGAATAACATGACATTGGCTTATGAAAGCCAGTTGTTCAATTTTTAGAGATTTTTGCCAACCAGTTGTTAAATACAACCATTACTAAAAATTAAATAAGTTCTACAAAGTACTCAAAATCTGTCACATCTTAATTGTTTTATTACATTTTACTATAATCTCTGCTTCTGAGGTTATTGACACTGGTGCTAGCTATTGGCATGGTGCTAGTACTGTGTACGGTGTGCTCTTCTCAGCTTCAGTTCTGGGACCTCATGCTGCCAGCTTAAAATCAGCCATGTTGGGAGGACTTGCGCTATGGAAGTATGTGAATTCCACAAAACTGAGCTTTTTCTCCCATGAGAGCACCATACCACATGGGGAGGAGAAACAAATTCTCTGCTACCCTTCTAAGTTATCCCAGTTGAAGAAATAAACAAAATAACATGAGACGGATTAACAAGAGAAAATTACCAGATTTATTACCTGTACACATATGGGGTTCCTAAGAACATGGGACCTGCCTTTTTAACAGTGGGACACAGAAAGGACTAACTAAATGACTCTTGATAGGCTCCTCCCTGCCTATCACACTAATTCATATTAAAATATAGTCATATATGATAATTGCTTATTTAGAACAAGTCTTCTAAATTCTTTCAGAAATTTAGGGGGAAGATCAAAGATTTTTCCTGATTCTGTCATTCCTTAAAAATAACTAGTTTAAAATGTCTTTAAAAAAAGGGGCATATTTTGGGGTGGCAAACTTGGCTTCCCCTTACCATGGAGAATGTAAATATGTCTTAAGCAGAGTTGTTCTATCTTGTCTACTTCTCTTGATCATGACTGTCTTTCTGACTGCAAACCAGTGCTTATTCCTCTGGAAAATGGTTAAAGCTTACCAAACACTCTCCTTGGAAATGAGAATAACTTATTAAACATAAAGTAAGTTTTTTGTTTTACTATTGGCTCTCAGTCATTTCTTCATACTATTTTTATATCTCTATAGTATTTCAGAAGACTTTTAAAGCATTAGTAGGTTTTTAAAAATATTTTTACTGCCTTTCATACATATTGGATCTAATTATTTGAGACTAATAGACTCCCAGATTCTTTTATGCTTTTTTAATAGCATAGGGAAAATAGTAAGATTTTTAAATTAGTCGTTTCCCTTCTCTTTGTTCTTTTAAATAGTATGTGATTTCCTTAGCAAGGTTGCTTTTAAATAGCTTAATAAAAAATGTGTATGTGCATATAGATTTTTTAGAACAGTGTGTAAGGAGATTCAAATATAGCTTGCCCATGTTGGCCTAAACTACAAAGCAGGGATGTGTATGTGTGTGTTATGATTTTGTTTCTGTGTGTTGTTTCAGATAATAGAAAAATGTTTTTCTCTTTAGTTGCTTGACAGAGTAGTAAAGTGTTTTCTTTTGAAGATAGGCTCACAAGCTCTCCTCCCTCCCTCAATTCCACCCCACCCCCGCACCTTTCAAAAAAACAAACCAACCACACACACTATTCCTACCCCGATAGGGTGTATGTGATTTTTGGTTAAATTTGATGAGGGCCTAATAGATGGACCATATTTTTAAAACTCTACGAGAGGAAGGTGTGGAACATTGAGCAGGCATTTTAATTCATTGGTATATACAAATGACATTGTTTTCTGTTTCACACACTGAATAATAGCCACAAAAATGATTTAATTATTTTTGTTTTTTAGTCTAAAACATTTGTCCATCTTTACAGCTGATATGTTTTAATCAATGAGAGAGGAAACAGAGATAAACATTGATTGATTGCCTCTATACGTACCTTGACCAGGGATTGAACTGGCAACCTATTGTAGGTGCCCTGACTGGGATTCAAACCCCCAACCTTTTGGTGTACAAGACAACATTCCAACCCATTGAGCCATATGGTCGGGGCAAAAATGATTTAATTATTGATAACTCTAGGAAAGAATATGTTTCACATGAGTTGTCTATAAATTATGGAGTATATAAAGTGCAAAGTTGTCTTAATACAAGTTTTAAATCTACAATATAAGGAATCAACAAATGTAAAATGTGTCATGTTTGTATGAATTTCTACTTGAATATACAACATGCATGAAGCTTACCAAACACTCTCCGTGGGAATGAGTTGAGAATACTCATGTGTGTGCTTATTGAATAGGTAACATGACTTTCTGAGTGCAAAGTGCAGAGTAGGGGGACCGGCTGAACTTTTGAGTCTATATATGTTTGATTCTCAGATGCTTGACTATTCAGATTTAATACTCTAAAATACTTCTGAGAATTCTGCAATTGTATGAGATTGGCACCAAAGAGGGACAGATATCTATTGTGTAATTTTTAATTTTTTAATTTTTAAAAAATATATTTTATTGATTTTTTTTACAGAGAGGAAGGGAGAGGGATATACAGTTAGAAACATCGATGAGAGAGAAACATCAATCAGCTGCCTCCTGTACACCTCCCATTGAGGATGTGCCCACAACCAAGATACATGCCTTTGATCAGAATTGAACCTGGGACCGTTCAGTCCGCAGGCCGATGCTCTATCCACTGAGTCAAACTGGTTTTGGCTCTATTGTCTAATTTTTCAAATGTATTTATTTTAAAATGAGAATAATAGCATTATTATTTCTTAAATTGATTTTTAGAGAAGAAGGGAGAGGGAGAGAGAGAGAAATATCAATGATGAGAGAAATCATTGATTGGCTGCCTCTAGGATGCCCCACACTAGGGATCAAGTCTGCAACCCGGGCATGTGCCCTGACTGAGAATCAAACCTTGACCTCCAGTAACAGCATTATCAAGCAACATGTTTTTGCCTCATTTTCTATCTCCAGCTTGAATAATTAGCAAGATATTAAGCATTTAAAAATACTGTTCTTCAGCCCTGGAGTAAGTGCAATTTTATATTGCTTTTCTTGAAAACTCAGAATTATTATCATTTGAATGTCATAGAATTGCATG